AGGGCCTTTTTCAATTTGTAGACATGGTCAGGATACTTGTGATTTTCAAACCCAGGAGGTTGAGAAACATATACTTCTTCATTGATGAGTCCATTAAGAAAGGCACTCTTTACATCCATCTGTAGTAATCTGAAACCACTTATACAGGCATAAGCTAATAATAATCTGACAGCTTCAAGTCTAGCTACAGGTGCAAAGGTTTCATCAAAATCAATACCCTCTTGTTGGTTATACCCTTTGGCTACCAACCTAGCTTTATTTCTTGTAATAATGTCGTGTTCATCTAGCTTGTTTTTGAATACCCACTTAGTACCAATTACATTGATATCTTTGATTTTAGGAACTAATTCCCACACTTTATTTCTTTCAAATTGATTAAGCTCATCATGCATGGCACTAACCCAGTATTCATCATTTAATGCTTCTTTAACTGTCTTAGGCTCTATTTGTGAAATGAATGCCATATGATTACGGAATTGGTTAAGAGAATGACTAGTAGATACTCCCTTATTAATTTGCCCGATGACATTGTCTAGAGAGAGATCTCTTGGGACAATCCATTCTTTGGGAAGCTCTTCCGAACATCTTCTTCCTGTTCTTCAGCAATTGTTGGTGACTCAGCCTTTGCAGGGTCCACCGATGGATCATCTTCTTCAACGCAGTACATCGATCTCGTGTTTCGGCATGTTTCAACCGATAAGAATTATCGCTTAAATCTTCTTCATCTCGCAGTACTCGTTGTTCTATTCTCGCACCACTCGAGGAGACTCATTAAACAAAACATGTACTCGTTTCTTCAACAGATTTAAGTCTTAAATTGTAGACTCTATATGCATGACCAAATTTCATTTGGATGTTTTGAAAATGATTTTCAGGAACAAATTGATTACACAAATTATTTTACTAATTTGGTCTTTAATATTCGTTTTGAAAATGCAATAGTAAAATGATCGATTAATACTTGAAAGAATCGATTGTTTCTGTATTGGAAGAGATCTAGAAGATGATACCAGAATTTAAATCGATTAAAACGAAAATGAGTTGATTAAATTTGATACCTTAGTGATTTTAGTTGATATAAATTCATTCTAATCGATTAAAACAGCTAAAACTCAAATCATGAGAACATTTTAATCGATTGATTCACATTTCAATCGATTAAAACTGTACGGACATATTTACTAATATCTTCTGTAAGTTATTTTAATCGATTAATACTGGTTTATATCAATTAAAACAATCAGCTTTAGACAAACGGAACCTGATTCGTAGCTCGAACTTCAAGGGATTCCCGGACTTTGTTCCTGCAAAACAAGTTAAGAATTTTTCTCGGTACCCTTACGTATTTTGGGTCCTTAGGAGTCAAATTTTCTGTTTAACATGTTTTGGAACCCATTTCTTCCTACCTTGCGGCACAAAATATTTTCTAGCATGACAAAATTTGATAGTATGTCCTTTCTTCATGCAAGTAATGACAAGATGAGAAAGGGGATGTAGTTGTTTTTCTAAATGAAAAGAAGTTCAAATACTTTTTAGTTTTTACTCCAATCTTAGGTTTGTACCCGATTCCGGAATGTTCAAACACACAGCTTTGAGACCCAAGAAGTGCATCTAAATTCTCTTTACCTTGAGTAAATTTTGTCAAGGTTTTAGTCAAGTAATCAACCTTATTTTGTAAAACAATACACTTTTCACAATTCTTATTAACAACAACATTATCCGCAGATGAATAGATAATATCTAGATGTTCTAAATCTGTTTTGCTTTCTAATAGTTCTTTTTCCGTAACTTTAACTCTATTTTCTAACCAGCTTATTTAAACCTTTTAACCGATTATTTGTATGAGATAAATTTCTGGCTTCACTATGCATTTCATTGAAAGCATTTAGTAATGTGTCGTAATTCATTTCATTCTCTCGTAGGAGTTGAACTTACATGTGATGAAGAGGATTCACAGCCAGCCATCAAACACAGGTTCACCTCTTCACTTTCGGATTCAGAGCTGGAAGATGAATCATTGTCTTGCCAGGCTATATAGGCCTTTTTCCCTTTGTATCTTGATTCTTTCTTGTTTTGATTCTTGATCTTTTCGGGACAATCACTCTTTATGTGACCCTGTTTACCACAAGAATAACAAGTAATAGTATTTTGAATAGATTCAGTCTTTTTATCATTGTACCTTTTTACTTGGCCAGTTCTGTTCTTTCTTCTAAGAAATTTCCCAAATTTCTTAACCAACAAAGTCAGTTCTCTGATTCATCTTCTTCAGATTCACTGTTTTCTTCAATCGTCTTGAGAACAATATTTCTACTTTTCTTTTCTCGCATTCTCTTGTTCTTTGAACCGATTGATTTCCAACTCATGTTCCCTTAACTTACCAAAAAGTGAAGCGGTAGTCATTTCAAGTCAAGTCTCTTGATTCTCGATATAGCCTGTCACCTTTGGTTGCCACGTTCTATCCAAACACTTTAAGATTTTGATGTTCAACTCTTCTTTGTCAAAAATCTTTCCTAACCCAATTAGATGATTGACTATGTGCGTGAACCTTTTCTCGCACATCCGCAATTGTTTCTCCTTGCTCGCATTTTAAACAACTCATAGTCCCCGATTAACTCATGCTTTCTTGCCCTTTTCACATCAGATGTTCCTTCATGTGTGACCTCTAAAATTTCCCACATCTCTTTGGCAGAGGCATACCGAGACACCCTAAAAAACTCATCAAGATTTAAAGCAGAGGTAATAATATTTTTTGCAGTATAATCATATTGGACTCTCCTATTTTCTACATCAGCTTAATTCAGCCCAATCTTTTTCAACTACTTTACCATCTACTGTATGAGTTGGTTTGTAAGGACCATTAACAATTGTTTCCCAAATGCCTCTATCAAGAGATTCAATAAAGATTTTCATTCTAACCTTCCGTAAAGAATAATTCACAACGAGAAAAAGTGGAGGCCTGTTTATGGAGGCTCCTTCGAAAAAGTCATCTTTCCCTCACCCATTGGACCGATTTCTTGAGTAACTTACAAGAACCAGCTTCGATACCAATTGAAAGAATTAATGGTTGAGTTCAAGAGGGGGTGAATTGAACTTTAAAACTTTTTCGCAAAACTTACTTTCTTTTGGAAGAATGAGTTATCTTTATTCAATCTTTGCAAAGGTAATTTGGTTTAAACACAAGCACAATTAAAGACAGAAATTAAAAGAGATGAAAGAAGAATATTAACACACAAATTTATACCTGGTTCACTCTAATCCGGAGCTACATCCAGTTCTTGACAAACCGATCAAGTTCCACTAATACCAAGTGAAAATTACAACCAAGTAGATACTCACCAATCTACCCCAAGAACTATCTTGCAAAACCCACAAGACAGAATCTTGAAAACCACCCAAGAACCAAATCCAAGTCATCGTACCAAGTGCAGATTACAATCCAACCTGCACAATCAAACTTTTACAAAAGAGTATGGAAAGAAAAAACCTGGACTTGAAGTTCTAATTGTCCAGAACAAATTCTAACAGCACTTTCTCTCTTTGATTGACCACAATTCTGATCACAGCACCTTATGATATGAAAAGATTCTTGAATGCAGAGAAAGTCACGTATATGAAAGTTTCATAGATTGATTTCACAAGTTTTCTCAAGTAGTGTGTTGTATTGTTATTTCAAAAGATAGATCAATTCTGTATATATAGAGTAAATCATAGAATCAGAACGTTTCATCTGTCAAAAACTGTTTCAGAGAGTCAAAAGATCAGTTAGTTTGAAGTATAACAGGTTTAGAAGAGACTCTGATCGATTAGAACAGAAGTATGATCGATCAGACCGAGTTATGATCGATCAGAATGAAACTATGATCGATCAAAATACATTTCAATCGATTAAAACGTCGATTCAATCGATTGATTTCATTTAAAGCTCCATTCAATCGATTGATTCGAGTTTTTAATGGATTGAAACAACTTTATGAAAAATGACAGCTCTCTGTTTCAATCGATTGAAATTTATTTCAACAGATTGAAATCCTGCAAACACTTAGTTAATAAAATAGCCTCTCTGTTTTAACAGATTGAAAAATATTTCAACAGATTGATTTTCTGAAAAACTCTTAGACTGAAAAAAAAGTCTTTCTGTTTCAACAGATTAAAAATCATTTCAACAGATTGAAAATATGAAACTTTGATATTGAAAAATTCATTGAGTTATTTTAACTTGTTGATTCCGCGAATCAATCAATTGAAAATACGACTATGTATGACCACTTATTATGTTGAGTGATTTTAACAGATTGAAAATCCTTTTCAACAGATTGAAAAACTTAGTTTGTTCTTTTAATACTTAAATGTTAGTTTTTCATGCAGAAAAATGATTTTCAATGAGATGCAACATTTTAAGGTGCTTATCACACAATATAATGGCCTATCAAGAGATTAAGTGCTTAAACTTAAAACCTAATCATCTACACACCCACAACCTAAGCTATATCTATGTCTTCATCAAATCCACCAAGTGCTTCAGGGTCGCCTTCAACAAGACCCTGACACTCATAGTTTTTGGAACAGTCTTGTTCCCCTTCCATTTCGACACAGTAGATCAGGCCGTCATGGATGCCTTCTTCGCCTGGGACATGAATTCGAAAAGTCCCCTACCTGCTATTCTTGCCGACACCCTGCTCTCGGTGGAATTCTGTCACCAGAAGCAGGGCAAAATACTCCGCTGTTGCTCTTCATTGCTATTTGTGTGGAGCGCCACTCACCTGTACGCCTCCAGTCACATGGGGATATTCCCCGACCCTTTGAGAAGTTTCTCCAAGATCCCCCTCCAGCGTCGTCTGACCTCAGAATGGAGGGATGAGTGGGAACACAAGGACGCCAACAGTATATCCTGGGTCTGTCCTTGGTTCCGACCCAGCCCAGTTCTCATCAGATGTGGGGACTATCCGAGTGTACCATTGATCGGACTCAAGGGCTGCATAGCCTACTCACCTAAAGTAGCTATGAGGCAGCTCATGAGGACCCAAACTACCATTTCCCGAGGGGAGCTCGGAGGACTGTGCTTCTTTGGAGACCCATGCACCATCGCCAACTCTCTAGCCATAAGAAAAGCATGGGAGAGGCCAGTCTACATGGGAGACAGAGAGCTAGGAAAAGCTCGGGTGGCTGTCACCAGTGACTATGAGGCATGGAGAAATAGAAGATGGGTGGCCCAATCATCCTCCACACCTACCACGAGCGCCAAAAATGAAGGGCTGCAGGCTCAGATCGACGCCTTAACCCAGAGGATAGAGATCATGGGAGCCCAGATGAGGGCCCTTGAGGAAAAAGAGCAAGAATCTATCCTCACGATTGATGGTCTGCGGAGGCAAGGCAAGAAAAAGGATCATGAAATAGAGCGCCTCAAGGACCAATGTGCTGACGCCAACGAACAAGCTATCCGAACATCCAAAACTGCCAGAACCAGTTCGGATAGCCAACTGCAAGAGATAACCGCCAAAACAGCACACCTTGAGGCCGAATCAGCTAAGCAGGCTCAAACGATCAAGGAGTTGTCAGAAGGGCTCCTCAAGGCTCGGTTAGACATCCACCAAGAGCGAGAGGCCAACAGGAGACTCACCAAAAGTCTCTCTGAGCTACGCCACAAAGAGAAGGAAGGGCTAGCTCAGTATAGCCAAGTACTTCAAGAGAAAGACCGAGCCGTTGAAAAGCTTGATGAACTACAAGCCTTGGTCGTTCATCAAGAGGCGAAGATCAAAGAGGCTCAACAGTACAGTGAAGATATGAGCCAGGCAGTCCGCAAACAAAGCGAAGCACTTGCCCATCATGTCCGGGAAGCTGAGAGGGAACTACAGAGGAATCAAGACCCTCCTATGGGTTTCTTTAAAGTTTTCCGCTTTTGCCAAAAGTTGCTTCGCAGTATAGAATAGGGGAATGTACACCTTCTCTTTGAATAAATAAAACTTCTCTTTATTCAAATAATTGTCTACTTGCATGCATAAACATTCATTTGCATATTTAAATTTCCCCTCCTTCACGCCTAATAAATAAGATAATAAAAAGGAAGGATTAACTAACACGTCTTCCAACTCAGAAGAATGGAGAGAAAGCCACTCCTAATAAAGCTCACCCTAACGGTCGAATCATCACAAGAGGAAAATAAGCCTCGGTCGTTGGTCCTCAAGAATAAAGAAGAGGGGGCAAGGACGCCAGTGTGACTATTTATGCCACGTCCTTTCCCCTACGAGTCAAATAAAGTTGTACCATGGAGATATGGAGAATCTCCACCAATAAAAGAAGAAATAACAAACATAGTTGGCATTGGGGGCACAACTAGAAGTGGAAGAATCTACTCCCCCAAGGACGCACAGGAAGATGTCCTCCAAAATAAAGGAAAAAATAAAAAGACCGAAGAAGGAAAAGAAAATAAAGAATCCAAGGAGGAGACAGAGGAATTATTCTAGTTCATAAGGCAAAGTGAGTATTCCATTATAGACCAGCTCAATCGCACACCTGCAAAGATCACATTGTTATCTTTAATAATGAGCTCGGAACCGCATAGGAACGCCCTGCTGAAGGTCTTGAGCGAGGCGCATGTACCTCACACAATATCCCAAGAAAAGGTTGAGAGGATCGTCGGTCACATCACGGCAAACGATCACCTCACCTTCACAGAGGAAGAACTCCCCCTAGAGGGGTCAAACCACAACAAGCCCTTGCATATCTCGGTTAAATGCAAGGAGTACCTCATCGCCAAAGTTCTTGTGGATAACGGGTCATCCTTGAACATGATGCCCAAGTGCACACTAGATAAGTTGACTATCCAAGGAACCCGTCTGCGCCCAAGCAGCACCATTGTTCGAGCCTTCGACGGATCTAAACGAGAAGTAGTGGGAGAGGTTAACTTGCCAATTCAAGTTGGACCCACTATCTTCGACGTCGATTTCCACATCATGGATATTACTCCAGCATATAGTTGTCTTCTCGGTAGGCCTTGGATTCATGATGCTAAGGCAGTACCTTCGATACTCCACCAGAAAGTCAAGTTCATAGTGGGCGATAAACTGGTCACAGTCCAAGAAGAAGACGATATCCTGATCAGTGGACCGTCCACCCAACCTTATGTGGATACGGCTGAAGAGGCCCTTGAAACATCTTTTCAAGTGCTCGAAATTGCCAGTATAGAGCGACTTCCCAGAAACACAAAGGTAGCCTGCATGATGTTGAAGCATGGTTACCATCCTGGCCAAGGATTGGGGGCAGATTCCCAAGGCATGAGGGAACCCCCAGAATTCAAAGACAATCCTTGCAAGTATGGCCTAGGATATGACCCTACTAAGGGCCGAGCAGAAAGGAGAAAAGGGAAGTCTCCCCTCCGCAAACTCAAGCAAATTTTCCGAAGTGGAGGGGTGCACTACATGACAAAAGTGCTCTACAAAAGAAGAAAAAAAAAAGAGAAAGAAGAGAAAAAAGAAATTACCCTTCGGTCACAAGAAGTCCGGCATGGTACAGCCAAGAGTAAACGCAGCAAATCAGAGGGCACTCAGCGCAACGAGACACGTTGGTTAAATCCTTCCGAAAACTTAATCAAATAGGCATTATTGGACATCAAAACATAAAAACATTGCATGCATAAGATGTTTTTAGACCAGGCCCTATTACCTCTTTCAAAAAATAACAAAAAATCAACAAAAATTATAAAAAATAAATGTCACCGCCGTCCGTTCTAACGTCCTGGGACATCTCGAACGTTAATGCGAGCGGTCGCGAAAAGATGGTTGAGACTCGCGTTTTTTGTTTAAAATATGTTCATTGCTTTCGAGGCGCTCAACGCTGAACTATCCTCTAATAGAAGCAAGGTTTTCGAAAAGGGTTCTTCTGGAGTCGCCACCAATGTTTTGACCATAAACATTGGAAAAGGAGAAAAAGGCATTGATTTTAATAAACACCAAACTTGGCCATTATAACCAGAGTCGGGTAAGGGAGTTAGTTACGTGTGGGGAAGGTATCAGCACCCCACAACGCCCCTTTCGGGTTCCCTATGACGGATTAATTCATTTAAGTAAAGATTACAAGAAATTACGCTATTACCCTATTTTATTCGTACAGTATTTAAATATGGCTATCTACATGATTTTATCTACATTGCATACAGAAAGCAGTAAATAAAGCAATAAAAGGGAAGAGAATTGAGAAGAACCTCCGAAGCAAGCTTTATATTATAAGTCTTTTACACAGAGGATGCTTTGCGGCAATCCTTCGCTCTACAATGACTCTCCTCTCGATTAGAATATCGACTCGACTAAAATATTCTAGAAGAATCGAATACCGGAATACAAATTCCTTAACTGATTGTTACCTATTAAAGGCAATCAGAGAGATCATTCGAAGGAGGGAGAGAAGAAGACAAGTCTTGAAGTTGTCTGGGGTGTGGAGGATGACAAATGAGGCTCCTATTTATAGATTTCGCTGCCTGGAATCTTGGGACGGCTGTCTGGGTTGGGACGACCGTCCCAAATGCACATTTTGCACAGGGTCAATCTGGGACGGCCTGTTGGGTTTGGGACGGCCGTCCCAACTGTGTTTTTGGGTTTGGGACGTGCGTCCCAAAGGTGAGACGTGCGTCCCACTTGCGTTTTGGAATTTGGGACGGCCGTCCCAGTTTGGGACGGCTGTCCCAACCTGTCTTGGCCTGTCTTCGCGTTTTGGGACCCCCGGGAAGCTTTCCTTTCCTTTTTTGTTTGATGCCGATGTGTGTCCATGGAAGCTTTATCTTCATATAGGAAGTCTTCTTGGCCTTCATTAAGATGCCGGGCGAGCTTTATCTTCGTGTAGGAAGTCTCTTTAGTCTTTATTGTGTGGATAGGTGAACTCCGTCTTGTTGCAGGAGGTCTTTCTCGGTTTTTCTTTGATATGAAGCCGGGTGAACTGTATGAAGTTTCCCTAGCTTTTATTTTGAGAGGCCGGGCAAAATTAGGGGTCTACAATAAAAAAATCTCTTCCGTAATTCGAGACCGCCGTCTGGACCAACCAGACCGCTGTCTCGACATAGGCAAAAGGCGAGACCACCGTCTCGCTCAACGAGACCGCTGTCTCGCTTAAGCCGAACATCGAGACGGTAGTCTCAATGGACAGACCGCCGTCTCGACTTGGAGGAGACACGAGACCGCCGTCTCGCCCACCCTGACGGCGGTCTCGATTTTGCAAAATTCCCTATATATAGGGGGCGCGCTTGGGGACTTCCTCACAACTCCCCTTGCCTCCAAAACCTCATTTCTCTCAACTCCTGCACTCCCAAGCACCCTTTGGTCAGAATGTTTAGCAGAAGCGCTTCCAGGAAGAGAAGAAACACTGCCGGTGCCAGTAGTTCTGCAGCACCACCGCCCCAGGACCCTTCTCAACTGTCGCCACAACACCAGGCCCGCCTTGAAAATATTCGGACCTACCAATGGCATCCAATGCTCAAGCTGGATTTTAATATCCTAGCTGAATTCGGATGGGAAGATGACGTCCGGGCCCATCTGGATAGCATCGGGTGGGGCTTCCTACTGCAGCCACCACCTACACATGTGTACCCGCAAGCGGTACTGGAGTTCCTAGGCTTCGTCTCTTACTCCGAGGTCCCCTCCACGGTCCCGGGCCTACCGCCCACCAGGATGGTGACCTATTTCATGGGTGGGCAATACCAGACCTCCACCCTCAAAGAATTCAACGTAGCCATCGGGTTCGTCCAGCCCGAGGACGCCATGACCCAAGAATACCGTGAGGCCATCTGCTCGCGGCCCACCAACCTTACCGCCGCGGAGATGTGGCATGAGCTCACGGGAGCCACCACGCTGCCCACGCTGATGAGGGGATCCACGCTTCCCCCAGCACTCCGTATCTGCCACAAGCTGCTGGTAGGAACCATACACGGGAGGAAAGAGAGTCAGGGCAAAATATCACTCCCTGACCTCTTCGTGCTATATTGCATGAGCCAGAGGCGGCGCTGCAACCCCGGGTACTTCTTCCTGAGAGCCCTCAAGGACTTCGAGCACAGATCCACGGGGGCCGTCCTCATGGCTCCACTCATCACCCCCCTGGCAAAAAGTTTGGGGTGCCCTGGCCGGGAAGACCTGGCCCACAACCTGCGACCCAAATCCAATGGCGGGTCGATCTTGGTCAGCATGGGAATGCTGATTCGCAGAGGGACCCAGCTGGCCCTCCATCCCACACTAGATTTTGCATTGGAGCTCCAGGACGCAATGCATGATCTGCCTACACCTCCCGACTTCCAACAGCAGGAGCAGCAGCAGCAACCGCCCCGGTATGCGGACGACTTCGCTGGCATGCACCGCCACATGAGCGACCTATGCCAGCAGTTCGACCATATGACTATGAGGCAAGAGCAGATGTCCCGAAGACAAGAGGAACTATCCCAGAGGCAAGAGCAATTGTCCCAAAGGCAAGATACCTTTGACACCCGGCTGGGAGAAATGTACCAGCACCAGCAGGACATGCGCCACGACTAGACGACATTCCAGCAACGATACCAGGATGAAGTCCAAGAGCAGGAGGACTTCCAGTATCATATGTACCAGCATTTCCCTCCACAGGGATCGGGTCCAGAGGATAGCCCCTAGGGATAGTGACTCCGAAAAATAGGGTTGTAATAAAAATTTCCCCCATAAATAAAACTCTATCTTTTTGCCATCTCTTGCAAAAGCTAGCGTTAAAAAAAAAAAAAAACTTAAACTAAAAAAAAAAAAAAAGGCATACGCTCAAGGAAAAAGCCAAAATCCTAAATCGCGAGAAAAAAGAGATAAAACCGCGAGAAAAAGGTAGGATTAAGCCATCACCTCAACCAACAAAATTTTGACTACCAAACAAGAGTCAAGCAAAACCAAGACCCATCCGACCAACCAGCAAGGATCAGATGATCACCACTAAA